CAAAGAAACCATTAGCGTCTGTCATGCCAGAAGAAGTTAAGCCAGCCCTCAAACCCCATTCATGTAACAGCTTGTCAACAACATTACCAGTGGCCAAGTTGCGGAAATTGTTATCTGTCAAACACATTCTGTAGCATCCCTGAGGTTTCCAAGCAGACCAAATAATAATTCCTTGAATCTGAGGGTGAGCATGTAGCTCTCTCAAAATTTGTTCCAAGTACAAAGCCTGCCAATATAAACAGAAACGCTAGTCATACTGAAGCACATCATAAATTTTTCCCCATATAACCATAAACTCTAGTTATATATAAATTGAAACAACTAGGGTTTAGAAAGATCAAACGACATTATTAGTTCAATTTGTATAGTCTAACACCTTAAATTGATCAAATTTTACCTGATTGGGACTGCCTTTCACATCTAATTCTGTAATCCAAATGGGCAATCTTGCAGCAGCAAGAGTATCGATCGAAGCTCTTATGTAAGGAAGGTTAGGAGCCATACTAAAATGAGACTCAAGCCCAATCCCTAACCGTGCATTTCTGTTACCCGGAAAAGTTTGTATCTCTCTCAGCTTTTGAAGGTACTTAGCGGGTGTAGATAAACCATCTCTACCGTCCTCAATGGTGTTAAATTCATTCATGAACATGGTGGTTGCTCCATCAGTTCTAATAGCCATGTTATAAAAAAGGGCGGAAGCTTTTGAACCCAAGATATGTTCATAGAAATTAAAATGTAAATTTTCATTCACCACATCCCATGCTATAACTTGCCCTCTGTATCTATTGATAACAGAGTGAAGCCTCTTGGCAGTGGCCGCAAAAAGTTGCTGCTTAGTGAGTGATTTGACCCAACCGGGGGTGTACTGGGGATCTTCCCAGAACACATTGTGGCCACGGACTGCAACATTGTGTTTTCTCGCAAACTGAAGCATGGCATCAGCCACGGAGTAATATTCATGACCCCAAGAAGGTTCAGTGCTGTACCATTTCATTTCATCTTCAAATGTTGTGACTCTGAACCTTGATGTGAACCAATTTTGGTAGGCAATGTTGGTGAGGATGTTCTTGTTGATAGCACACCCAAAAGGGAAACTTGAAGACTTTTGTTGTATGGAGATTGTTGCGTTTTCTAGTGGATTACCTTGTGCATCAAGTACTTGAATTCTCACATTTCTCTTACGAATCTAAGATATCATAGTTAATTAGTCTTTAAGTAAACCTCATCGGAGTACAATTCAATCATCAACAAACCTACTCTAGATAAATAGACATGATCAAACTCACTTTGGTAATGCTTTGATCTTGATGGGACTTCCATTGCTTTTCGGTGAATGGTTGCAACGAGATGCTATCTACCCAAATGTCAACAGATGCTATGTTGCTCTGCGGAGTACATAAATTTAAATGAATGAAATGTATGACACAAGAACGCACCGCAATTATAACTGGAAGACTACTTGTACACTCTTGCCTGCAAGTATTGAGTATTACCTCAAAATAAAGCTCAGCTGGGCCTGATGAATTGACAGTTAGACCACCTTTGAGCATGGACCAACAATTTGATTCGGCAACAATCGAACCAGCATATACGAATCCACTATTTGTCTTGAAAACTGCTGTTACTGGTACACTACCGTTACTCACTTGTATCCAAGCTACACTTGCACAAAACAAATATTAATTTTTGGAAGGAGTGCATGATGACTTTGTTGCAGTATATATAGTTGCCCGTAACTAATTCTGTACCAGAGAATGAATAGAGCTTGTTCCTTTGCAAATAAATTTTTTGAGAAATACTGTCATGCGGTTCATTTCTGCTATGTGCCACAACGAACTCGTTGCCTTGTGATTCTCTGTGTTGTAGTTTTGCATTGCCAAAAGCAGACCATCCTTTCAAGCCATGTTTTAGTTCCGGGTTTACGACGATGCCTCCACTGTATTTTGGTTTATGAGGCTTTTCCAAACACTGTACAAAGGGCAAAAGATAAAAATTCAAAAAGTTAAATTTGTTACATTCTAATTCAACTAACAAAACAAGAAATTCCAGTGAAAGCAACTTGCCTCAATACTAGCTGTGTAATCATAAGATAATGCGTTCACTTCATACCCTGCACAACATTTGATTGAGTAATGAATTGTCAAGAACTAGCTAGAAAAGCTAATAGTGATTAATTGTTCGTTCGAGAACTGTGAAATAAGGCAACAGTTAATATGATTCATTGGCAATAAAGGTCGGCTATAAGTTTATAACGTGACGGCTCTCATGATGAACATTGCTCACAAAAGATGGTACATGATAAACAAACCTGCAAAAATGGAAGCGCATAACAACAGAAGCAAATTGATTCCTCCCAAAATCTTCATTGTATGTTGTTTGCTTGCTAATTACAAACCTTAGAGTGAGAGAGAAGAACCATAAGGTAAGAGAGCATATTATGCTTTGTATTTATACAGAGATGAACGCTGATATTTATACGTAGAATATGGCTAGATTTTAGCGGGGTAAAAAAAAAAAAAAACAAAAACATGACACCGATATTTATAACCATATCCCATCAAGCAATTAAAGATATGAGACGATATGTATATATCCCGTATAAGCTTTCAATGATATACGTTGTCTTAATAATTAATTTGACTGAAAAACCCAAAAAAATTATAATTGTTGTAGGATATTTATGTCTGTCCACTAATTGGTGTAACTGTTGTAACCGTTAGGTCATTAATCCCTCAAATGAATAAGTCATTCATTCCTCAATTAATTAGGCATTTGATTCTTCCTATTGAATTAGGGGGGGTATTTTGTGTAATTTTTCATAATAGCCACACCACAAGTCTAAAAGCTGGCTATGCCTCACATTGTAAAACACTACAAGAAATTCTCGAATAAAATTCTTTCATTCTCTCTCAAATTATTTTCCGCTACATCAATACTTAATTTGACTGACATTAAAATTATTTTCCACTATATCCATAAAATTCTTTCATTCTCTTTCATTCAGGGCTGGTTGGCTAGCTATGTTAGCTCAGTCCTCAACCCATTTGGCTATATTTTGGTCTAGTGGGTCCCAAATTTTTTTGGCCCAACCCTCCATTGGAGATGGATTTTGTGTCAAAACAGGCTATATTTTGGCCTATAGCCATTTGGTCGACTCGGTTGGAGATGACCTTAGGACCTTCATGCCTCACAAGCTCAAATCAATAGGTTGTACAATTACAAACCCTAATGTAAGACCTTATAAGCTTTTTCTATATTTCAACGATTTTTCAGGTGATATTCCTCTTCACTTGGAAGTGAGAGATCTTATGTTCGAATCTCGTAGATGACGAATTTGATAGGCTACCCATTGTGTGGCTTAGCCGAACTCTCCATCCCCTTAGTGTAAGAATATCGATGTACTCAAAAAAAAAAAAAAAAAAAAAGACAAAAACAAAACGATTTTCTGATGTGGGACTCTTAGTGTTGTGTTAATAATAAAAACCAATAAGTGGATTGTGAGACGAGGGGATGAGTCAAGCGCTAAGACCCGTACCCCCATGGCTTGGGTCTTGATGTAGCGAGTAGGGTGATTTGCAACCTACCCAGGTAGGGTGTGCTCTGCTCTGTAAAACTTAGAGCCAGACTGTGATCTGTTGGACCTAGAGCCACTCTCAACCTTCTCGTACAACATATCACTTAATACCCTGCTTAATTACAAGCCCACACTATCAGCTAGGCACAGGAATTACAAATTATAATGTAAGACCTTATAAGCTTTTCTCTATTTCACTAACTTGCCGATGTGGGAACTAGGTGTCGTGTGAATTTGTAGTATAGGGATTGAGGATAACTTGGATATATGTTATCAGTAAAGAATGATCACCTGTTGACAAATTTACCAAAACGAAATTGTGGTAAAAACTAAAACAACAGGACAAGTGTGTGGTCGACCAATAAAATTGTATGAAGCTTTCTATTTTACAGTCAACTCTAAAGTAAACGAAAACGAGTGTCTAGTCGATCAAAAGAAAACAAAGCTTTATATTTTGATCTGGTAATCTTCTATAAGGTCAATTGGTGTCTCTGCCAAGAATAATGAGAAAGTCGTCCAAGCCTAAGCACATAAGCAAGAGCAAAAGCACAAGCAACAGCAAGGGTCCTCCACTTTTCTCTAAGTTGGGTCACAAAAGCTACAAAGGTTCTCTCTGATCATTCTCCAGATTTCTCTTGTTTTTCTTTTTCTTGTATCGCAAGAAGCCTATTCGAGTATTGTCAAATCATAGAAACGTTACTATTAGTCGCATTCTCAAATCATAGAAATAAAAAATTGGTAATTTAAATTATCATTGCGTTCACTAATTCATGCTTAGTCCTATGCTGGTTTTTCTATTTTGATTTTTTTTTTTTTGAACAAATGATATTATTTACATTAAGGGAGAAGGGGTGAACTTTAGCCTGAGTGTGAGATTTTAAACTCTTATCTTGGCCAACATCCAACCAAGCTTAGTTTTTGGGGATTTCTATTGACATATAAGTAATTTTCGATTTTTGTTTTCAGCCTAACTTCTTAGAGTAATTGGTGCTTAAAGCTTTTCGTTGCATATGAAACAACAGATAGAGAGAAGATGTTACATAAATATGAGCATTCTACAATACCCGTTATGCTTTTTATACTATCTTATGAAATTTTGTATGATGGTGGAGAATACAAGAATTAGCATGAGGAAAATTCTCTTTGTGTATTACCAAACATGGGATATACCAAGGAAAATGAGAATAATATTCATACGTAGCATATACATTCTGAGTAAGTGAACTGTGAGCATATGAAGAGCAAAAGGAAGGGCTTCTTAGAGATCGAAATTTCAAACATGAAAGTATCGTCTATACTCTGAAACGATCTTATGTTTATTCATCAAATTCACCGTTTATGTTGCCACACAGAAGGAAGTACAAATACAAATATATGTTTTGCTCAAAATGTAAAAATAACATTATAATCGACTAATCGGGGGAGAAGTACATGAAAAACTAACAAGGCTAAGCCTTGCATTAGACACTAATCAAATTGATACCGAGTACCAAACAATCTTTTCCAATGTTAATTAAAAAGTGGATCGTAAAACATTAAGAAACAGCACACCGATGCTTTCAAAGGATGGATATAGGGTGGTCATCCTCAGGCCATATGCAGAGATCCATCTTAAGCTGGCCGCAAGAACTGATATAATCAGTTGGGATTAAGTGGAAACCTGTTTTAGGAGGGCTGTCATCAATTATAATTCTTGGAGTGCTCTTTGTGAAAGCCTGTAATCTTAGGCGATTTCCCTTAGTTTTTACAACAAGGTCATAGAAGAAACCTCCTGTGGAGCTGGGTTGAATACAGCTAAGCATCACGGCATTTCCTAGATCTTTAACACAATGGTTCTTGAGAACAAATAATTCACCTTCATTCTTTTCTTGGAAAACCACAAATTTGTCAGTAGCTGATAAGGTAACTGGAAAACTGCAGTGGTACTCGAATCGTTTTGCCGAACCAAAATGTTTACGCCTGAAGTGTTGACATATCTGCTTGGATGAAGCGACAAAGTCACAGCCTAGATGGGGACATGAACAAGGCGAGTACACACATGTCTTTAGATGTTCACTTCTTTTGTCATAAGTGACCGACTCTTTGCATCCATGCTTGGCATTTCGGCATGATATTGTTGAAACTGATTTAAGGATCTTCTCAATTGCACGGCAACGATTAGAGCAAATGGACCCGGAGCAGGAGGGACATTTGTTATTAATTTTGCCGATGCAAGAGGAGCAAGCTATATGCCCATTTTGATTACATTGGAAGACAGGGATGGTCAAAGGTTCATAGCAAATTGGGCATTCAAACAGATCTGGGTCAGTTAGGGTTATGATAGTTTTATCAGACCTTTCATTATTTTCCTCTTCGTCTTCAACTTCGATTTTATCTTCTTCTCTTTCTTCTTCTTCACTTCCGTCACGATAGCGATCTTCTTCTTCACTCCTGTCACGATAGCGATCTTCTTCTTCACTCCTGTCGTGATAGCGATCTCCTTCTTCACTCCTGTCGTGATAGCGATCTCCTTCTTCACTCCTGTCACGATAGCGATCTACTTCACCTACGTCACTATCACTTTCATCTTCTTCTCTTCCCGCGTATCCTTGACTTTTTCTGGCTCTGGATGCCCTAACCATTGTAACAGGAATGAAGTCGTGATCACTTTCCTCTTCTTCTCTTTCCGCATCTCCTCGAACCCTTTTGGCTCTGGGTGCCCTAACCCTGGTATGAGGAGCGAAAGGATTTGGACGACTCAGACGAGCTCTCTTGGTCCTTCGGATGATGCTGACTTCTTCATCTGACTCTCCACTTGGAAGGAAACCAGGTGTTAAATGGCGCTGGGGCCGCATCAGTACTTCTTTCTTCAAATCTGAATATCCATTGCTCAACATCGATGATCTTGCCATTTATATACAATGAATAAATCAATACTTTATAAGCCCTTATATATAGGCTACGCGTACGCCTCAGTTGGAAGAATATCAATCCTAATACAGGTTCGTTTTGCATTTCTTTGGGAGCAAGAATTCAAAACAAATAACGAAACAACTTTTCATAGAAGGACGGGATACGATACGATTCGATTTATGTAATGAATACTGATTTATCATAATAAATATTTTCCTTCGATTCGATTTATTTAATGATAACGATTTATCATAATAACTACTTACTTTCCTAAACAGATAATGATTATCTCGAAATTACGAGTAATTCTAAAATTAAATGCTCCATGAAAATCGGAAAAAGAAACAATGAGACTTGCAGAGTTGGTGTCACATTCAAACTCTGATTCCAAGGAGAAATCTGTGGCTGAAGGTGTAATTTTCAGTTCATAATCTCCATGGGAAAAGGAGGCCTCAAAGAAACGGTTAACATCCGTGGTGTCGAAAATCACGCCATTCAAACCCTATTCATATGGAATAGCCCCAGACTGGAAGAAAGGATTATCCCGGACCTACGCCGAGGTATTGACTGTGATTCTCAAATATTGCAAAACAGAATGTGATAATAGAATCCAATAGAAACAAAGACACAGGGAACGAGCAACTGATAATTCAGATACCTAATAATACCAAACAATTTTTTTCCATGAATGTTAAAACAGCGGATCGTACAAGTTAATGTCCAGACCAAAAAAAAGGAATTATTGCTAAGCTACACGTTTACTTGCAAAGGATGGAGCGCAGCCATACGCGGAGATGATCAGCAATCACCCGGCTTGCAGTGTTGTTTGTGAAAGACTACAAACTCAGGGAATTTCCCTCAATTTTCACTTCAAGATCGTACAATAAGCTTCCCAATAATGTTACATACAAGTAGGCGTGACAGAATTTCCTAGACCTTCAAGAGTTGTCTATGAGGATAAGTAATACTACACCATCTTTTGTGTCCTTGACATCTAAGGCCACGGAAAAACTGCTGTGGTACTCGAATCTTGCTGCGGAATTTACATGTTATTACATGCCTTTTGATGTTTTTTTCTTATGGTAAATGACAGACTCATTGCATCCTTGATGTTTTGGAAGTATATTGTTGTAAATGACACAAGAACCTACTTAATTGCGTGGCAAACAATTGAAATGAATAGACCCATAACAGGAACAAGGGCAGTGAAACTTTTACGTTCACGGAAAATAACCTTCATTTAATAAAAGAAACCGTATTGTCACAAACCATCTCAGCCGTGAAAAGTGCTAAAATCTAACGGTGTCAAAAGTTTTGTCTAGCTTTGTCCTCCGATCTGAGCCAATACATACACACATACTACGTAAACCGTCTAAGAAATTGAAGGAAAACGAAGGGTTTTTTCCACATCATGACTGACCAGCAACTGGCTCAGTACAAAAAACCAGGTGTAACGCAGGAGAAAATAAAAATAAACATTCATCATATAGCTATTGTAAATGGGTGGAAGTTACCGAATAACCATGTCCCATGGTACAACAACGGATCTTAGACAACTTATGTTTAGCAACACTGTTACTGGAAGGATAGAGGGCACTGACCAATAAGCCATATGGTAAGTTCCAAGCTGACCACAAGAACTGATAAAATCACAAGGTAATAAAAGGAACCCTGTTTTAGGAGGCTTGCTGTCTTAATCAATTTCCTGCAGCTTGCTTGGAATGCTCTTTGTGCAAGACTGTAACCTGAGAAAACTCGCCTTTGTTTCCACATCAAGCTCATAGAAGAAGCTTTGCATGATGCCGGTTGAATACAAATAAGCATCACGGAATTTCCTAGATCTTTAACACAATGGTTCATAAGGACAAATAACGTGCCTTTATTGTTTTCATGGAGAACAAGAAAGTTAAGATGATCATATAAGGTAAGGGAAAACTTTGAGAGTACCCAAAACGAGTTGCAGAGGAATTAACATCCACATGATTACTGCTGAAGTGTTGGTATACAACTGTTTGGTTGAGGAGCCAAATTGGTAGCCATAATATGGGCAAAAGCAAGGCGAATATAAGCATACCTTTTGATTTTCATTAAAGACCTCGTGACTAAAAGCATCACATGAAATTCTACCTGCAAGTATAAAAGTGCTGCATAGCAGCAGTAGACTGCTTCTTCCCCCAGTATTCTTTATCAAGAAGAAAGTCTAGACCAGTAAATGTAGAGAGAGAGAGAGAGAGTAATGGAAGAAGACGCCAGAGATATACACTGATAGTCTATTATGAAAACTAAAAGCTGATATCATGCGTTGTCTTTGTATTCAGGGAGATGAAAGCTGCTACATTAATGCAATATCTTTTATTTTTTATTTTTTTGAGCATAAATATGATATTTATTGATGAAGAAATTGAATACGTACAACGTTGAGGATAGGCTGCATGTCATAGACCTCGATAAAAACCTTGCCAAGGATTTCAACTAGGACCAAGGGACCGCATCAACAAATCACTAAAAAGTGCTATCCTCAATGAGAAGATCAGATTATATCAGGAGGTTCTTCAAACCAAAATACTAGGTTATTAAATATTAACAGTTAAACCCAACCTAGCTAGCCTGTGTGCCACCTTGTTCGTTTTCTTCTACCCAATGTAGTCTTCCAATGAGTAAGGAATCTAGAACCCGTCGCGTGTCAGCAATAATATACCCAAATGGCGAAGAATCCACCAGGCCATTCTGTTGTAATGCCGTGACCACCATCAGTTCATCCCTTCGATTTCTACCCTTGTCAGCTGTTGTTGTGCTAGTAATGCCACCTCTCTGACAGCAATGATCTCTGCCAAAAGTGGTGATGCAATCCCATCAAAGTTTTTGCTACCGCAGCCATGAACTCACCTTTTTCATTCCGTAAAACTACTCCCACTCCGCCAGTCCCATTAAAGTTCTTTGCTACCGCATCCATTAATGCAATATCTTAGCTTTAGAAAAGATATATACAGGAAGAGTGCATAACATACCCAAAATAACCATTCAACATTAAAACCGTCCAGATTTGGTAATTAAGTAAAGAACACTACTTGGCTCCTTAGGATTTCTCTCTCATCCGCAATTCTGATATCGGAACTTTACTTATGGGAACTTAACTTGGAATCACGGAAGGGAAAAGGTACACGATCAACTGGCCCTTCCTAATTGGTAGATTCCTGATTTTTCAAGCATTCGGCCACTGATTTTAATTTTAATGTGAAACTCACACTTTTTTAACATTAAACTTCTCACTTACAAATAAGAAAGAAAACAACTAGATTGTATTATTAGTGGCAAAGAGAGCAATAAATTTGCGATAAGAATTCACAGTTCCACTTTTAATTAGTGTTGGAGCGAAATTTCCTACATGAAGAAATACCTCCACATAATTGTTGTTCGTAATCCTCACATTCAACTGTAACGACCCATCCCTAAATATTTCGGTTTTTATAATTTTAAAGTGTGAATTTACGAAAATGCCCTTCAAGGTGCAACCATTGACTTTTGTTGACCTTCATATTGTGCAACGTATGACCTATTATACTTGCGTTTTCTTGTAGTATTCGTCACTATGAAAGTGTGGGCGTAAGCGGAATTGAATTTGGAGCTAAAACGAAGATTTTACAGAATTCGAAATGTAAGGGCATTTTGGTATTTTTCCAAGTAGAGATATTTTCCACTTTGGACCACCCCCGAGCTGACACGTGGCAATTTCTCCATTTCTGGGTGCCCTTTTTCTCTCCTCCCGTGATCTCTCTCTCTAGAACTCTTTCTTTCTATCATTGTCTCTTCCCCATCTCTGCAACTCTCTTCCTCTCCATTGCCGAGCACATCTTCACACACTCACACCCACACACCACTTTGCCTCTCTGGCAAGCCCTCAGACCACCTGAACCCTTCAGACCACCACCATCTTCTCTCCCTATTTTTCCCTCTGGAGTTTGTGATCACTGTTCAAAAATAGTAAGGGTTCTTGACAACTTCGACCTAGGTAAAAGTCGAAATATGCCTTCGATCCTTTCTCCTTTTGATGTCATGAGTTGATGTACAAGTTATATGTGTGATTTGATGATGAATTGATATAGATATATCTCTGGGACGAATTTTTCAAGATTTTCCATCAAGGTTCGATGGTTTTCGAGCCATTTTCCGCCAACTCTGGCCACGACACAGGTCCAAATTGGTATGAAACCCTTCTCCTCATTCTAAGCTTCATTTTGGAAGGAAGAGTGTGAAAAATGGTTGAGTTTTGACCCCAAAATCCCCAAATCCAGCTTTCTTCTTCGTTAGGTCCAGTGACCCCAGAGCCTAATTGGGTCAAACCCGACCAGTAATCAAAAACAGGCCCAACCCAGCTACTGAGCCTAACCCAGTAACCCAGGCCCAACCCATTAACCCTAACCCGGATCTAATCCAACTACCTGGTCCAATCCAACAACCCAAAGCCCAAATCCGACCTGACCCAGACTCAAGCCCAATTTCATGGTTAGCGCGTAGGTATGCGTTGCGGGCTGTCATGGCTGGCGCGTGGAGTACATGCGCTTGCGTCGAAGGTATTGTGTTTCGCCGCCATCCACAGCGGGGCTGATGAATTTTCTCGGTGACTTTTCTACACAACCTATCTCAGTGCATGCAGTGGCTTGTGAGGGAACCTAAGGTCCCTCCTTAGGTTTTTCGACGTGCCGAATTCGAATATGTTGTCCGTTTTCCTAAATTCTATCGTTTTAGTAGAGTTTTATTAAATGGCCTCTATTTGTGTTTAGGTGCGTCGGTGGGATGTGACATCTTTCTCTCTAGTTCGTGCGGCTCCCAGGGAACAAAATATCTATAAGTGGACCCTTTCTTAACTTGCATGTTTTTATAAAATATTAGGCTTGTATTCACGAAAAGCATGATTTCATGATTTTACGTTTTATGCATTATTTATGATTTATCGAATTTACATTTTTACGAAAGGTTGCGAATTATTGGATTTTCGTAT